TGTCATTAAAAGCAGAGCCTGGGCCCGCCCCAACCCACAGGCACAGCCCAGGACGTGCAGCCCTGGAATTCACTCTGCACCCCAAGGAGGGGCTCCGGGAGCGCAGGTCTGGCAGGAGGGGTGGAGGCTGGGGCCTTGCTGCAGGACAGCAGCCCCTCCGCCTGGACCTGGGAGGGCCTCTGGGAGCCAGTGCACAGGAAGAGACCCTCCCCATGGACACAGGAGACTGGAAAATGGTGAGCTCCCCATCAGTGTAGGGATCTAAGCTCTGGCCTACATGTTAGGGAACGTGACTTGGTGGCTTCCTCCTCTGGGCCTATTTCCCATCTGTAACATGAAGCATGGACTTTTTGATCTGAAAAGGGCCTTCAGCCAGGGAATCTGTCTGCCAACCCTGTCTCACACTGAGCCCAGAGGCAGCCTGGTAACCCTGAACACGGAGCTCAGGTGGCCATCACGAATCAGAGCTGGCACGTAACATGGAACCTGTTTGTTATTCTAGTACTTACTAACAGTTCTCTCTTCCCAACATGGAGGATTGTCTCTTAGGTAAATATAAATCTTAAATTAGCAGATTATTTTGAGAACTAACTTTTTTCACTTGAAAATTTTTACTTGTAATTTTCTGAATTTCAAATTGTTTTTTATTGCGGAAGTGGAAAAATCAAAACATGTTAGCTCACCAGCTACAAATTACTGAAAAAAATGGTAGTCTTAATGGTAGTTTCATCAATGACTACCATTAAAATGGAATTGACAACTAATTTTTTATTTTTTTTGACAATTTTTTATTTTTTTTGGCGGTATGCGGGCCTCTCACTGCTGTGGCCTCTCCCGTTGCGGAGCACAGGCTCCGGATGCGCAGGCTCAGCGGCCATGGCTCACGGGCCCAGCCGCTCTGCGGCATGTAGGATCTTCCCGGACCGGGGCACGAACCCGCGTCCCCTGCATTGGCAGGCGGACTCTCAACCACTGCGCCACCAGGGAAGCCCCGACAATTTTTTAATTTGGTATTTTTAGGCCCAGCCAGTGATTAGCTTGGTCGGGTACACCAAGAATGTCTGTCATACTATCCAAAGGTTGGTAGATGTGGAGTACACCTCATCTACCAATCAAGCTGTGCACAGCAGGAGTGGAGTTACAACCCTTTTTCAAGTAGAACAACTGAAAAACAGTAAGTTATTGCTTATGTACCTGGCCGTCAGACTTCCAGCAACTTTTGCCATCCAGTTACCAAATGAAATCAAATAGGAAAAGCCCCGAGGAGTGGAACAGTTGTGAATGGACACGAAGCCCGTGTATGTTATCCCGAGAGTTATCTGTTTGCTTAGCCAAGCATTGCAGCTGCAGTACCCTTGCTCAGGGCCTGGCTTGTTTACCTGGCCAGACTAGAATAAATAAGGGTGGTCAATTCAGACTCACTGACAGCAGTAAGAAATCAGTGACAGTTGATAGGGAGGACACGTAGGAAAAAAGGCTAAGGTGAAATGCACAACAGTTTTGGTGTTTGCAGTGCAATCCCGGCCTCAAGACCAAGTCATCATAATGTGAGGTTCACTGTCTTCAAACTAAGATAGGTAGTAACATGTTCTGGAAAAATCCCTAAGAAATAGGAAAAGAGGCAGCACAGCAAGAATACAGATTTTTGGAGCCAAATGGATTTGAATCCTGGTTCTTCTTCCTCTGTAGAGCAGGATACTGGCTTTCCTTCCAAGCTATTTAAAAAGATCATATATGGACACATTTAGGACAACATCTGGCATGTAAATGCTTAACAACTGGTACCTGTTGGTATTATTACAAATGAATTTGCTAGTTTTGAGCCCCTTCCGTGCTTGTCCACTAAACCTCTCCTCCTCCCAGGATGTATCCTGTGGTGTTTTATTTCAGAGCTGTGCTTTTCCCACCGCAATCCTTTGAGGGCAGGACTTGTGTTCTCACCTGCTTTAAAGGCCTGGGACAAGTGCCCAGTTATGCAGGCCAGGGCTGTGACACTGTGCTCTGTGTTCCCAGAGACAAGGGGATCCCAGTGGCCTGCTGAGGGCACTCAGCACCACCAGGTGCCCTTTTGGCAGTTTAAACAGGGGTTGTCCATCCCAAGTGTTATTCCTTATGAGGAGGCCTTTTGTGAGCATTTGGCCCACTTTTTTTAAAAATGTGCTTTTCATTTATTACAAAAGTAATGCAGTTTTGGAGAAAAGTTCGGAAAAAACAAAAAATAAAACAATTCAAATCACTATAATCCTCTAAGTCAGATAAACATGCTAGAAAAATTTTGATTTCTAGGCTTTTTTCTTAGAATACATATAAAATATAGATGTTTACATATTACAGATAGGTATTTGTACAAAATTGGGATCATACTGTATTATATAAACTGCTTTAGATGTGCTTTTCCCATTTTATTATATGGTGTAATTTTCCCTGTTAATAAATATTTTTTGAAAATATGGCTGTCTAGTTTTCTATCACCTAACTCCATAAGACTCAGTTTTCACCACTAAAAAGTAGGTCCCACAACCTCTTTCTTGTGCTGGCAGCATCTGGAGCGGACACGCTGTGAGAAAGTCCAGCAGTCACAGGACTGGTCCCAGGGCTACACCCCCGGGTCTGTTCCTCCATGCAGCCCTCACAGGGCCTGCACAGATGGGGCCCGGCCCTGGAGGAGCTAGTGAGGGGATGCATGAGCAAAGCCAAGCCCCATGTTCTCAGTCCTGGTGCTGGAGCAACAGAGCAATGGAAACGTGGACGGGGAGGCCAGGCAGTCCCAGGAAGGCAGCTTTGACCTTCAGCCTGCAGCAAAGGCCCCACAACGCCCTGGGTCCACTTCCCACAAGCCAGAGTCCTTCTGAGCAACAGAGGGTCAGTGCTGTGCTGTGACAGGTTGAGGAAGGTGGCTGGGCCGCTGCTCCCCACACTCTGGACTCCCTGTCCTGCCTGGCACAGTAGGGCCCAGACCAACCATGGAGACCATGACTCTGTCTCCCCACAGGCCTGGGGTTGCCCTGCTGTAGACTGAGGCTAGAGCTCAGGAAACACCCCAGGACTCCATTATGACTGATGGGGAGATGGCCACACTTTCGACCCCAGCTCTGCCACGTCATCCTGGGTGACCTGAACAGTCATGTCACCTGAGCCTTGGTTGACCTCTGCACAGGGTTCTGGTGTGGAAACAGTGGGTTAACACCTGTGGACACCCAGAGAGGCACTGGGAAGGCCACTGTAGCTCCAAACCCACTGAGCTTCCCAACCTGCTGGCTGGTCTCAAGCTCCCTAGGCTGTCAGGAGTCGGTCCTCTCTTGGGGGGCTGGCTGTACTAAGCTCTTCATACATACCCTTTCTTGGCTCTTATAAAAGCCCTGAAGTCACTGCCATCACCCTGCTTCACTAAAGCCTGCCCTAACGCTGTGGGCAGTCAGGTAGACTGACCTGTGACGGCCACAGTCTGCACTCAGAGGGGGCGCCTGGGCCTTGAGATGGGGGGTCTCTTTTGGCAGCTCCATAAGGATCAGGGGTAACTGTGGTACATCTGAGGTCCAAGGAGACAGAAACCTGGTCAGCTGCAGCAAAGGGGGCTCAGCTGAGGGCCAGGAGTCCACTTGGCACATGGGAGCCAGAGGTAGAGCCAGAGTGCCATCATCCCTCAACAGGAGCTCTCCTGGGGTCACCAGGGCCAGGGGACAACAGGCCACACTCCTGCCTCGTCCAGACTTCTACTCAACATGTAAAAGCCCAGCCGGGTAGACTCTGAATGGTCTGAGTAACCCCACCCCACAGGGAGGTACCTAGTGGCTACAGGGCTCAGTCTGCTCAGTGCCTTCAGCAGGTCAGGGTTCCTTTAAAGCCACTTGGCTGACCAGTCCATGGAGGGTGAGCGGAGAGAAGCCAGCCTGACTTGAGCTCCAGGAAGTGGCTGCACAGAGGGACCAGACTGTGAGCTCAGCATGGGTGAGACCATTTGTCTCATCAGTGGTCAGCAAACTTTCTGCAAAGGTTCAGATAGTAAATATTTTAGGCTTTGGGACGGCATTGGTTAATTTTGTGTTTATAGCTAAGCCATGGTATCAACTTTTTAGCCAAACACCAGTCTGGATGTTTCTGTGAAGGTATTTTTCAGATGTGATTGACATTTACATCAGTAGACTTGGAGTAAAGCAGATGACCCCTCCATAATGGGGGTGGTCCTCATCCAATGAGTTGAAGGCCTTAAGACAGAAAGACTGGGATCACCTGAGGGAGGAGGAATTCTGCCTCCAGATGGCCTTTGGACTCAAGCTTCAACATCAACTATTTCCTGGGGCTCCAGCCTGCTGGCCTGCCCTGCAGCTATCAGACTTCTCAGCCCGCACGACTGCAGAGCCAATTCTGTGAAATAAATCTCTTTCTCTATGAACACATACGCACACCCTACTGGTTCTGTTTCTCTGGGAACTCTAATACAGGGACCATACAGTATCTGTCACCAATTACTCAACTCTGTCACTGCAGTGAGCAAGCAGCCACAGACAATATGTAAACAAATGGGTGTGGCTGTGTTCCAATAAAACTTTATTCACAGAAACAGGCAGTGGGCCGGATTAGACCCAACGGGTTTGCTGACCTCTTGTCTCCTGACAAATAGGTACAGTACCTGGCATGGAGAAGGCATTTTGAGTAATAAAATACCATTTAAAACACCTGTAGAATGAAAGTGAGCAAATGAATCACGGAGACTGGGCAGTACACCCACTGGCTACGAGACTGGCAGCATGATTTGGGAGTGGAGGCACTGTAGATAGGAACTTTTCCACTGTCTTTGATTCCCATGGTCTTGACAATGGTCTGACAAGGGTATCTGGCTTGAAGATATATCACCCGACATCTCAGGGAATTGCCCGAGGGAAGAAAGAAAAGCTGTGGGGAAGACGCTATTTCCTATTCCTTCACCAACCTGTCTCGGGGGGCAGTTTAGCTTTAGATGCAACCTCTGACAACTCCCAGGAACTAGCTGGAGGCAGCAGTACAAAAAAGAGAATTTATTTTACCAGAAGAAAACGTCTAGGATCCACACAGGTGAGCCCAGGAGAGGCCCTGGCCTGGAAAGGGCACACACAGCCGTCCATGGTGGGGAGGGCAGCACCCTGGCCCACGGCCCCACTTGGGGAAGAACCAGAGGCGGCCCAGGCCGTGCCTGCAGAGGAGCTGCCCCACGCTGACCCCAAGGAAGGGCCAGGACACAAAGCCCTGCTTGCTGCAAACGGGACACCTTGGCTGCCGGTTCCCCGGGCTGACAGCTGCCCTCTCACACGTACTCCCCACAGTCGGAGATGATGACCTTCTGCTTGGGCTTCCCATCCTTGCTGCCCTGGGCCTTTGCAGGCAAAACAGAAGAGGAGGAATCAGGGGAGGGAGGGAGGGTGGAGAGGAAAGGGCAGCTCAGGATACCCGCCCCGCCCCCTGCCCCCCCCACCCCCAGCAGCAGCAGCCGTGGCCTCTCTCTCCAGGCCCCGGAGTCCCCGCTCCTGCCCTCCCACACGGCTGTGCACCGGGGGCCCGGGCGGCCGCCCACCTCAATCTGCCGCAAGACATCCAGGCCTTCCGTGATCTCCCCAAATACCACGTGCTTGCCGTCCAGCCAGTCCGTCTTGTCACATGTCAGGAAGAACTGGGAACCGTTGGTGTTTGGGCCAGAGTTGGCCATGGAGAGCAGGCCTGGGGGAGAGAACGACCACATCGACCCCCTCCACCCTGCTCCCGGCCCTCAGGACGTCTGGTAGTAGAGGGAGGAGCGTAAATGCTGCTGGGAGGGGGAATGGAATGAGGACCTGGAACTGACTATTGGCAAGATGGAGGCTGCCAGCATCTTTGAGAAGAGTGGTTTCAGTGGACAGGTGGCACTAGAAGTCGGTCTAGTGGGGGACAGAGAGAATGGAAGGCAGGGAGTCTACATAACTTTTTCAAGAAGTTTTGCTTACAATGGGGACCAGAGGCATGGGTGATAGCTGAGGGGGTACATGAGTCAAAGATTTTTTTGAAAGATTGATGCTGCGCACTTTTATGCTGAAGGACTGATCTAGCAGAGCAGGGGAAATGCATTACACAAGGCTGCAGGGGTACATCCACAGAAGCCAGGTTCTGAAGTAGGGGAGAGGAGTAGGGGTCCAGGCCACGAGCAGAGGGAAGACAGCTCAGCCCCTGTACTTGGAGGGAAGTCAGAGCGGGCATGTGTGGACAGATGCAGGAGGCCAAGCATCAGCTGAGGCAGAGGGTGACATGAAGGCTTCGGGAATGAAGGAAGGGATGGAATTGTTATCTCTGACCAGGACTGAGTGTTAACTAGGGAGCTCTATCTAGTACGGCTGCTGAGGGCCTCCTGCAGAGCTTCGGTCATAAATTTCAGTACAGTTCTGTGTTTTTCCTAGTTGCTGGGGGACCAAGCACTGAACTTTTTTACTGGATGAGCCTGACAGAGCGAGGCGGGTAGTGGGGCTGAGGGAAGACAAGGGCTTACACTGGCCGACCACAGAATGTAAGCTAGGCCAACAGGGAGTGCGGACGTGGTCGGGGGACGGGCAGTACATGAATGGAAACAAGCTCACTCTGCTTAGCCAGGCCCAACGCCTCTCCTCTGTTCACTGGGTGGGTCCCCTCCAGACCCCCAACCTGTCAGCCAGAACCACAGCCCATCACTCCCCCCGCACAGTCATCCTGCCCCAGCCCAGCCCACCGATCACCAGCCACTGATCGGGTCCCACCTGGTCCCGTGTGTTTGAGGATGAAGTTTTCATCGTCAAACTTTTTCCCGTAGATGGACTTGCCCCCAGTGCCATTGTGGTTGGTGAAATCGCCGCCCTGGCACATGAACTGGGGGATGATGCGGTGGAAGCTGCTGCCCTTGAAGCCAAAGCCCTTCTCATGGGTGCACAGGCAGCGGAAATTCTCTGGCGCCAAGAAAGGAAAAGGTACCCAGGTTAAAAAACAAACCAATGAAACCTCTAACTAGGCTCTGAAAAACTGTTGTATTTGTTTAATGTTCATATTTTCATTTCAAAATATGACATGCTCATTATAAACCTTTGAGATGCTGACATCTTGAAGGACTAGAGGGGATTCTAGTTAAAGAAGGAGTGAACACACGCATTCCAGCTCTGTTCTACACTAAACTGGCAGTAAAGCAATTTTTTAAAAGAAAAACCAAACAGGATCTTAGAAAAAAAACACAGGGGCAACTCTTTGTGACTCTGGATTTGGCAATGGTTTCTTAACTGTGATACCGAAAGTGTAGGTAACAAAAGAAAAAATAGGCAAATTAGACTTCATCAAAATGAAAACTTCTGTGCATCAAAGGACACTCTCAACAAAGTAAAAAGGCAACTCAGGGAAAGGGAGAAAATATTTGCAAATCATTATCTCTTAAGCATTTAACATCCAGAATATATAATGAACTCCTACAACTCAACAACAAAAAGACAAACAACCCAGTAAATAAATAGGCAAAAGACTTGAATAGACATTCCTCCAAAGAAGATACACAAACGGCTCCTTCCCCTAAGCACATGAAAAGATGCTCCACATCATTAGTCATTAAGGAAATGCAAATCAAAATCACAATGAGATCCTACTTCACATCTACTAGGATGGCTATAATAAACAGAAAACAAGTTTTGGTGAGGATGTGGAGAAATTAGAACCCTAATACGTTGCTGGTGGGAATGTAAAATGGTGCAGCCACTGTAGAAAACAGTTTGGCAGTTCCTCAAAAAGTCAAATTAGAATTACCATATGACACAGCATTTCCACTCTTAGGGAGGCACCCAAAACAATTGAAAACAGGGATTTAAACACATATTTGGGGACTTCCCTGGTGGCGCAGTGGTTAAGAATCCACCTGCCAATGCAGGGCACACGGGTTCGAGCCTTGGTCCGGGAAGATCCCACATGCTGCAGAACAACTAAACCCGTGCGCCACAACTACTGAGCCTGTGCTCTAGAGCCCACGAGCCACAACTACTGAGCCCACGTGCCACAACTACTGAGCCCACATGCCACAACTACTGAAGCCCACAGCCTAGAGCCCATGCTCTGCAACAAGAGAAGCTACTGCAATGAGAAGCCCACGCACCGCAATGAAGAGCAGCCCCCACTCGCTGCAACTAGAAAAAGCCCACGCACAGCAACGAAGACCCAACGCAGCCAAAATAAATAAATAAATAAATTTATATTTAAAAAACACACACACAGGGGCTTCCCTGGTGGCGCAGTGGTTGAGAGTCCGCCTGCCGATGCAGGGGACACGGGTTCGTGCCCCGGTCCGGGAGGATCCCACATGCAGCGGAGCGGCTGGGCCTGTGAGCCATGGCCACTGAGCCTGCGCGTCCGGAGCCTGTGCTCCTCAACGGGAGAGGCCACAACAGTGAGAGGCCCACATACCGCAAAAAAAAAAAAAAAAAAAAGATAAAAAACACACACACATATTTGTACACAAACGTTCACAGCAGCATTATTCACAATAACCAGAAAGTGGAAACAACACTCAAGTGTCCATCAACACATGAATGGATAAACAAAATGTGGACTATCCAGACAATGGAATATTATTCAGTCATAAAAATGAACAAAACATGGATACACAGATGACCCTTGAAAACACGATGATAAGTGAAATAAGCCAGACACCAAAGGACAACTACTGTATGATTCCATTTATATGAAATGTCTAGAATAGCAAATTCTGAGAGACAGAAAATAGAATAAATGTTCCAGGGCGGAGGGGAGAGGAGAATGGGGAGTTGTTGTTTAATGGGTACTGACTGAGTTTCTCTTTGGAGTGGTGAAAAAGTTTTGAAAATAGATAGTGGTGATAGTTGTACAACATTGTGAATGCAATTAATGCCAGTAAATTGTACACTTAAAAAATGGATAAAATGACCAAAAAAAAAAAAATAGGAGCAAGAGAAAAGACAACAGCAACAAAAATCTTTGAAACCTAGAAGACAAATAGATGAGCCATAACTGATATAGCAGACCTAACAAACCTGAAGCTTAAGCTGGTAAAGCCGAGAGCAATTCGATTTATGCTGCAGAAATGCCAAAAGCTCAGAGCCAAGAATGAAGATGGCTCTAAAAACAGTAAGTGTGGTTGAAAGCCTGTTTAAAAAAGTAGCTAGCCCCCAGATCCTCTCCCTTCCCTGGCCCTGGCTGCCGGCTGGAGGTCTGCCCTCTGGTATGTCAAAGCAGAGGGTCTATGCTCTGGGATGCACTACACATAGCCGACGGTTGAGGTACCATAAAGACAAACGGAGATCAAGTGAAGTTTATATACTGTTCCCATCCCCCCAACCATGATGGCAAAGAGCTGTAAACAGGACCACTAGCAAGAGACTAGAGTCTGCTCTGTGGACTCCGCTTTGTCCAAGAGACTACAACTCAGGAATACTGACCATCCAGGGTCCAAGAGAGAGAGAGAACCACCTGGCAGTGGAAGCCTCAGTCAGCAAGCCTTACCAATATCCAGGGAGTTTCCAAGCAGATTTTTAGGGCCCTAGTCTTAAAGGCATCTAATGTGAAAAGCAAAGACCAAAACAAGCAAACAGACCAATAACAAACAAAGCAAAACAAAATTTAAAAACTCAGAAAAAAGTAACCTGAAACATAAGCTGTATAGGAAAAAGAAGCTTTAGTAATCTCCCAAGATGAAATGGCAGTACATGCATGAAATAAGCACAGGATGCTATAAAAAAGGACATTTAGGAAGGTTCCAGAATGAGAGAAGAGAGAAATCAGAAGGGACAAATGCAAAGAAATAATCCAAGGAAATTTTCCCAAACCAAAAGATAGGACTGTCCTGATTGATCGGTGTGGTATGCGGAATAATGTCTCCCCAAAGATATCTATGTCCCAATCCCTGGAACATGAGACTATGTTATGTTGTACACAGCAAAAGGTACTTTGCAGATGTGATTAAGATTACGGACGTTGAGATGGGGAGAGTAGCCTAGATTATCCAGGTGGGCCTAATACAATCACAACCTTTCCCATCTATAGTCAGAAAGAGAGTTAGAAGTGGATGGAAGAGGAGGCAGGAGAGAATAGAAACATGAGAGGGACTGGATCTACCACTGTTGGCTGCGATGATAGAAGAAGGGGACCACAAGCCTCTAGAAGCTGGGAACAGCCCTCAGCTGGCAGCCCACACGGAAATGGGTACCTCAGTCTACAGATACAGGAAATTGAATTCTGCCAACAACCTCACTGTCTCTGGAAACAGATCCATCCACCCCTAGAGCTTCCAGTAAGGAATGCAGCAACCCAGCCATCATCTTCATTTTAGCCTGCTGAGACCTGTGTTGGCCTTCTGGCCTTCATAACAGTTAAGATAATAAATTTATGTTCTTGTAAGCTGCTAAGTCTGTGATAATTTGTTACAGCAGGAAGAGAAAACTAACAAAATAGGGCCCACTGAATATCCAGCATGACGAATGGAAGGAGGTTTACTCCAAAGGCACACTGTTTCAGAACACAGGACAAAGAGACACTCCAAGCCTCCAGACCAGTGTTATCTAACAGCTATTAAGCATTTGGATAGTGTAACTGAGGAAGTGAATTTTAATTTTATTTAACTTGAATTAATTTAAACTTAAATAGTCACATGTGGCTAGTGGCTACCATACTGAACAGCTGAGCTCTAGGCAGAAAATTTTAAAAAGGTTTTGTATAAAGGACCAAGAATCAGAATACTAGACTTCTCTACAATTTTACAACCAAACCATCAAGTGGGAAAGTAGATATTTTCACACATCAGTCTCAAAAAACTTATCCTCCAAGCTCTTTTCTCCAGAAGCTACAGAAGTATGTCTTCTACCGAAACAAGAGAATAGACCAAAAAAGACAACAGAGGTTCCAACATAAGCGAAAATAGGAGATCCCATGACAATAGCTATGCAGTGGTGTCTGGAAAGCAACTGGTTCAGGCCAGAGGAGGTCAGAAGACTCCAAGGAGGAACAGTGAAATTGACAGAATATCTGATGTATTTGAACATGATGAGAGATTTATAGAAGCAGGAGAATTTCGGAGAGACTCAGGAATATATGCACAGAAGACTAAGCAAATGTGAAAACAAGACAATTGTGAATTCCAGGGAAAACAAAGTGCTATGTATGAAAGGAAGTTATCACAGTATGATGCTTACATAGAATAGCATAGGTTATTACATAGAATAACCTATGACCTAAACAAAATTATGGTAACAATGTAAGGAGGATGAAGGATCAGGGAAGGTGATTTAGAAAGCTAATTCCTTATCTTCTGAAGTGGGAAGCCAATAGATGTCTAAAATGAAGAAAAAACAGAAAGTAGCAACATAAATCTGTTATCTACCAACACGGAGGTAAAAACCAAAAGAATCAGCTAAGAGGGGAAATTGGCTGCCTCTGAGAAGCAGCAAAGGGGGGGATGGGGCAGGATGGGAGGACAACATGGGGGCACTGCTGTTTTTCAAAACAAGCTTTGTGGAATTAACATTCTAAACTATATGTCTATATAATAAAATTTAGATTAAAAGAAGAATAAATAGAAGTCAATATTTAGCAAATGAAAAATACTCAAGAAACTGTTAGTTAACAGTAGTTACTTCTGGAGAGTAGGACTAGATGTGGAGAAGAAAGAAAGACTTAGGTTTTCAATTCACTGCCTTCAATATTGTTGGAATATACTTATGTGTGTATACTTTTTTTTTTTAAACCATGAATACAAATTTACTTGTATTAAATAAAAAACTATTATTAAAAAGTAGTAAACCAGGGACTTCCCTGGTGGCGCAGTGGTTAAGAATCCACCTGCCGACGCAGGGGTGGTTTCGAGCCCTGGTCTGGGAAGATCCCACATGCTGTGCAGCAACTAAGCCCGTGAGCCACAACTACCGAGCCCACGTGCCACAACTACTGAAGCTCGCGTGCCTAGAGCCCGTGCTCCGCAACAAGAGAAGCCACCGCAATGAGAAGCCCAGGCACCGCAACGAAGAGTAGCCCCTGCTCGCCGCAACTAGAGAAAGCCCGTGTGCAGCAATGAAGACCCAATGCAGCCAAAAATAAATAAATTAATTAATTAAATAAATTTATATTTAAAAAAAGTAGTAAACCAGCACTTCTAAAGCTTCAAAAATGCCTGCTCTGACTCATCTGTTAATAGATCCCAGGATCTGAGATGCCGCAAATCAACTCAGGTCAGAAACAACGTCAAGGACACAAGAACTAAGGCACTGAGAACCTTGGAAAGGCTCACTGCTCAGCTCCCAGCTTCCCGGCCATCCTGACCGGAGTCCTGCTCACCTGCTGTCATGGGAACGATGTCTGAACGTAGGAGCATCTGAATGCGGCCTGCTGGCTTGTTCCCAATCTTGATGTCCATGTACACCTGAGGGTTTGACCGGGCCTTTTTTACAGCGGGCTCTCCCTAGACGCAGGAGAAATGGCCAGGTTAGAGAGAACAGCCTGACTCCCCGACTAGGAGAGCAAGTGTTCTTCTGAAGACACCCCAGAACCCACTGCAGCGAGCGGGCTGAGCAAGGCACTGACAGGAAAGGCCTTGGGCCCTGATGGGGCTGCAGAAGGCGGAGGCCATGGCCATGGCCCCCAGCCGGACACCCAGTGACAGGAGACCTCAGCACTGTCTACCCGGAGCCCCACCCCTCGGGCATTTTATCTCATCTCACTCCCTCAGACACATCAGCTCGCTTCGCCTTCACTCTCCCCTGCAGTCACAGAACAACGCTTTTCTGGCTCAAAACACACAACTCTCAACAACTTCAACTTCCAGTTCAAGCCCACCCACCTTAGTCAGTTAAACGGACCCACTTCTGCAACACCACCCCCTTCCTCTATGCTCAGCCCTGCATATCCACAGGCTGGCTGCAGTGGAAGCAAGGAGGGCCTAAGTGCTCAGAATGGAGGTGGTTGGGACCTTGCTTTATACTCCAAGTAGACAAGGCTGGGCAGAGGAGATATTTATTACAGCTGTCACATTTGCTCCAAAGAGAAAACTCCAGTGTTCTTGTTTGTGCTTCAGTTTAACAAACTCGCTGAGGTATCACGCTGGGCACTGAGGACACTGTGACTATTATTTGCTGTTAACAACAGCAGTAGCGTAGTTGTAACAGCAAATACTCACATAGCACTTGCCATGTACAGGGTACTATTCTGAATGTTTTAGGTAATCAGCTCATTTAATCTTTACAACCACCTGTGAGATCAGTGCTACCATCATTCCCATTTCATAGATGGGGAAACTGAGGTACAATGAAGTTCAGTAACTTGCCCAAGGTCACAGAGGTGCTAAGTGGTGAGCCTGGAATTCACACCTAAGCCCCCCATCCCCCAACCAAGTCCATGTTCTTAATCACATTACCCCACCTCACATTCCACATTTTTATTAACAAGGCCTTTATTAATACGAGGCCCCTATCCTCACAGAATTTACTGACTAGAAAGGGAAAGGCAATAAGCACTTGCGTAGCCTTTACAAAAGCAAAGACATACAGGGAAATACAAAGACTGGTTTTACCAATAGTGTAAAGTGGGGACTACAAGGTGAGAGGTGGGCAGGGTCAAGGCTGGGAGAGTCCCCCCGCGACTTTATCTCACGGGACAGGTGATGGGCAGCCACTGAAAAGTTCTCAGCAGGAGAGTCAGGTGATCCATGGTATGCTTTAAAAAGATCATTCTGGCTGCCTTTATAAAAGACGGGAGGAGAGCAAGGCTGCAGCCAGAAGGCGAGTTAGGAAGCTATTGCAATTATCCAAATGAGACGAGAAGTTACATTGGGACGATGGAGTAATCAGGGGAGGATCGATTCAAGGAAGATTTAAGAGAAAAACTTGGCAGAATATGATGTTCTGGCTCTATTTTAAAGAGGCGTCTAGAGTGACCTAGGGTTACTCCACTGACTGAGGGCCATTTATGTGCTCTGCTTTGCATCTGGATTTCTGGCTGAGGTCAATGTGGATGGATGGTGGCAAGGTGGTGAGTTTGAGAACACAGGAAGAACGGGATTAGAGAAGGGAGGGCGAGACTTGCAGCAGAAACGTCTGAAGCTCAGGACTAGAAACAGAGGCCAGGAAAGTCAACAGCACAGGAGAGGCTGTGCAAAATCAGAGTGACTGCCACTGTTCTGGCAGAGAGGGGAGAGGGCTGCTGTGAGTCAAGAAATTCAGAAGAACAACGTTTAGAAGAAGGGGAGAGGCAGCCTGAGAGGCAATGGTTAGAGAGGTATGCCGAGAATCAGGAGGAAGTGCCAAGGCGGGTTCTCTGGAAGGGAGACCCTCAAGCCTGTGCCCAGGCTGCCAGGAAGGGACCCCCACCCAGCCCTGCCTCCCCTGCATCAGGACAGGAAGCCCCAGCGATGGGGGGGGCTGATGAGGAGGGCTGCAGTGGTGCGCTCACCACCCCTCCCCACCTCAGGCTTCCTCCTCGTCGGCGGCAATCACAGAACAGAACCCAGGCAGAGCTGAGAAGCTCCTCACGCAGAGCACAAGGACAAGAGGCCTAAAGCTTCCCTTTAGTTCACTCATTAGCACCTCCACCAAAACACTAAAAGCTCATTTTTCATTCTCTCTGCTTTTGTATATATGTTTGCAAATTTCCATAAAAACCTAAAAAACGAAGTCTCCTGTGGGAAGTGCCAGCCTTCAGTCTCACCTCCTGGGTTTCCACTTTCGGAGGCTCTGACCCTTCTTCCTCTTTATTTTCCTCAAGAGTCTTCCCAGAAAACTTCTTCAACCAGTCGTCATCGGACCAAACTGAAAGGAAAGAGGCAGGCAAATGAGAACAAATTCAAGCTATCAGCCAGCTGCTAAGTGGCTGCTTTGGTCAGCAAAGCAGAACATGCTCTGTGGCCCTCTCGGCCACAGGACTCCACTTTGGGAACTCCCACGGTAAGGAAAGTTCCCACCTTTCAGAGACTGCCAGCCCTGAAGCCCGGCTCTTAGCAGGACTAAGTGAAAAAGCTATGTCCCAGGGAAAGGTGCAGCCTTTGCCAGTCCCAGCCCTTGACGGAACCTGCCAGGAGTGTTCAGAAAATGGGGACAGGTAAGAGATTAGGCTGCATTTCTCTCATAAAGCAAACAATTACCCTGGCTTGGCTGAGAAGCTCAAACTCTTTTTATTTCCCCACAAAGGTGGCGCATGTCCTTCGCCAATGTAAACCATGCTCTACTCCTGTCCACCAGAGTAGCATTCAGCTCCCACTTCCAAGAAAATCGGGACAGAAAGGCAACCAAGGCCAAACTGGAGGATGTGATGGGGAATCTGTATTGCTCCCACTCACCTGGTCTGGAAGAGCCTTCCTTAATCCTCATGGGTTTTGCCAAATTGACACGAATTGTCCGTCCAAAGAGCTCAGACTCATTCTGAAAAGATTGAAAATCCAGCTGCTTAAACTCTGTTAGGTTAAAACAAAGTCAGACAGCTTTCCATTTCCTTCTGAAAAATCTGAGACAAGCTCATGACTTGTTCTCCCTTAACCCCTGAGCCCCTAGCACCCAAGCTATGCACCTACTGCAAAGCAGTCTGTAGGTTGCAGGGAATTTCCTCCCTGGAGCCATCACATACCTCCTTTCTTTCTTTTCTTTTTTTTTTTTCAAAGTTGAAGCATAGTTGATTTACAATGCTTCAGGTGTACAGCAAAGTGATTCAGTTATACTTTACATATATATGTGTGTGTGTGTATATATACATATATATATACACACACAGACATATATATATACACATGTATATATATTCTTTTTTAGACTTCTTTTCCATTGTAGGTTATTATAAGATATTGAATATGGTTCCTTGTGTTATATAGTAGGTCCTTGTTGTACATCTATTTTATATATAGTAGCATGTATCTGACCTTTCTTTCAATACCACCAACGACCTGTGCTTCCAAAGGTGACTCTGGGTTCAGAGCACTCTGAAATTACAAGGATAAATGCAGTTTCCAAGTACCCGAGTTCACCTTCAAAAGTCAAGATCAGCTTTAAGTGGTGAGAAATGGTCTCTCTCTCTCTCTGAGAGCTGAGGAATATGTTTGGTGAATGGGAAACAGAGAACAGGAATAAAGGAAAACCTTATTATCCTAAGATAACTGGTACCAGGAAAAGTCACTGAATGTGAATTCACTTAAGGCAGTGAAGAAAATTTCATGGTAAAAAGTGAAGGGAAAAAAGATTGATTGGGAATTTACTGTGATGAAACTAAAAATAATGAAAATAAATGTCTTATAGTTAAAATTCAGGTTTAATTTATGTGCTAATTTATAGGACAAAGATGTAATGGATGCTGATTAATCTGTAGTATTTTTCCAACAAAATACTATCAAAATATCAGTATGATATTTTTGCATTTCTTATCTGCTGTGAAAATCATAAGCATCTTGAAGAGGGAATACATAATCAAGAGCTACATCATTTTCCCCAAGGAGCTCTCCAGGCTATTCCAATCATTTGCATCAGTAGCATAACCTATCTTTATCCTTGTTGAATTTCTCTTCTCAATTGTTAACTGGTCTAACACTTCATGAAATCCTGCCTCTTTTGTAAAATATGCAATTTCATTGTGCAATCAATTTGCATTGTGTTTGCAATTTCCTATCCTAGACTCGGGCAGCCAGTGAGAGACTGGTCAACAAGGATGGTTAGCATTCACATTATTATCAAGTTGATCAAAAGCGATCAATTCACAGTGAATATTTTCATATGATGATAATCTGTACTTGCCCATGCAACCTTGTAACTTTGGAGGTTCAGCAAACTCATGTATGAATAAGTGCCCTCTGTACCACCAAAAAGCAACTTCTGTAAGAAGGAGGATTCCTAGCCATACCATGTTGTCGATAGCTGCTGCAGCATCCTGCCAAGGAAAGACAAGGGACAAGTTTAGGCTTGCAATATATGTGGAACCTAGAAAATGGTACAGATGAACCGGTTTGCAGGGCATAAATTGAGACACAGAAGTAGAGAAAAAATGTATGGACACCAAGGGGGGAAAGCGGCGGGGTGGTGGTGGTGGTGGTGGGATGAATTGGGAGATTGGGATGGACATGTATACACTGATGTGTATAAAATGGATGACTAATAAGAACCTGCTGTATAGAAAATAATAATAATAATTTATTAAAAAAAAAATTTAGGCTTGCAGTCAAATGCTTCTTGTGGTGTCTAAACATACTCAGTAGCCAAAAAAAAAAAAAACCCAACCTCACAGGAAAAGGTCTATTTATACTCCTTGCCCAGGTTGTATGTGTCTAACAAAGTGCACTTCCTGGGTGACTTCAGCTATTGGCTATTTAGTGGAAGACAAAGAAATAATCACCAGTGCCACAAGAGCTCTGCAGAGCAAGAGGCGCAGGACCTGTCTGCGATGTTAACCACAGCCTACAGTTTGATTAAGTGAGGGAAACTTTCCTTCAAATAGCACTTCTTATCTCTCTGGAAGCATCAGCACCCCAAAACCCAACCAAATGGAGAACAGCTCCCTTTGTAATCAGTAACAATAATAACACAAGCCAAAGACTTAACATAGGTAACAGAATTTTCTCACCTCTGCCAACTCAAATTCAACAAAAGCAAATCCTCGGTGCTTTTCTGAAAAAAGGCAAACAAAGCCAAGCAATTATCATGTGGGGCAATGGGAGGAAGCAGGTGGTCACAAGGAAAGTGAAGTCAGTTGCATGCCTTATCCATTCATTTGAAATTCTACACAATCACTATTTAGGAAGAAGGAATCTTACTCTTTGATTCTTTCTAGTTTAAATAACATTTCAAGCAATATTAAACTGTTCTGTAGTGAACATAGCTGAATAATCAACTATAGTTTTAATCTCTAAAAGCAGCATTCAATTCTTTTACCAAAGCCAAATTAAAACCTTAACCTCTGCGTGCAGGAGCTAGAAAAATGAAGTCATTTAACCTATCAATTATTCATTCCAAGCATACATTTTGAACATCAACTGTGCGTAAAGCATGAATCCTAAAACCTGGGTAAGGACACTGTCTTTATCCTCAGCGAAACACTAATCTAAGTAGAAAGGCCAAGTGCACAACAGCACTAGTTTAATTAACCAATTAACCTTAGAGAGTCAATATAACCTTATCATTTTTATAACATATAAAGATCCCAGGGAGGTTAAAATTATATGCAAGGTTGATGACAGAGCTGAAACACACAACTCGACTCGGGACTCAGTAGAGCATAGGTTGCTAAAACCTCAAAACACATCTTAGGACTTAATGAAGCTCACGTTCTTTCGTCTTGGCCCAGAAAGAATTCAGTGAGAAGCAAAGTGACAGGCAAGAAGTGATTTATTAGTATAGGACACTTCTGAGAGATACAAGGGGTCAGGAAAAGAGAGTGCCCCACAGAGAACTCAGTGGGCTACATACAGTTTTATAATTAAAGGAAAAGTGGGGAGGGGGAGAAGACCACCTTCTTCCTCATTCTTCGAGTCTTCCATAATTAACTCCTCCTACAGGTTGGGCAAGGGAGTTTTTGACCCTACCTGGTCCAACCTGGACTGTCATGATGCTATGGAAATGAGCAAAAAGGCGGTAATATACACTAAAATATGGTAAATCACCTCAGGTTTCAGCATAATGTCACCTTTCCCCTATGTTTTTGTTTTTAGTGTGTGCAGAGAAGCGTGTCCTAGGGATCATTAACTTACTGACCTCAACCAGCAGGATGCAGGCATCACTGACTTGATGTATAGTTTTGTTGTTAAGCAAGCCTGCTTGGTTGCACAAGTTAAGCAAGCCTGCTTTCTTGAGTGATCATTAACTTACAGGAGTCTGCCAAAGTTCCCTCTCTATCTATGATCCCCCAGTGGGATTTCTAAACTAGCTGCCTACTCTATCCCTATCAGATCTGGGCCTAACACTCCAATCTTAAAAATGACAACAAAGGCTAAAATAGAAAACTGAACTACAAATGTGATACTAATTGATGGAAAGCTTATCCCCAGGTACACAGAGGCTAAGGCCCCACTGTTGAAGCTGGGCTTTCCTGCTACCCTGTTTAATAGCACAGCCGCCAAGAAGGGAGCAGGTGCACTAGAGTGCCTGGCAGGTAGTTCAAAACAACAGATCTCCATGTAGCTCAAAACCTATCTTCCTACTGGCTAACTGAAAAGTTTGTCTTTGCTCAAATGCAACAGATGGGACTCTCTGCAAAGCATGTTACAGCTCACAACCACAAGCCTCAGAACAGTCCTTCTGCACCAAGATCACTGTCATGCTGCCCAATGCATATTTAGAATGCACTGTGATATAACTTAAAAAAATTTTTTTAAGCTCTTTTCCTTGCAGGAGGATTCTGAGCAGGCGAGACACTAAAAAGACTTACCTGTTTCATAATCCAGAGGAATCTGGATATCTGTGATGTCTCCAAAAGGGATAAAAGCAGCATGAAGAACTTTGTCATCCACCTCCTCTGCAAGTCCACCTGCAAAGAAGCCAAGGGCCTTCTGAGACACTGTCCTCTATTCTCTCAAGACCCCGCCCATCTTGAGAAGTCCCTGCTGTAAAGTCAGCATGCTACCACCAAGGGGAGGGGTCTTTCCATCCAGTCCTTTGGGTTCATAAACATCCCTCTCATATGCTCCCTCACACCTACTTATGATGCACACCCCTCTCTTCACCCTTCTTTCAGACCCTCATCTAGCCCCAGGATTACTGCAATAGCTTCATAACTGACCTTCCTCTCCTCCACAAAGCCAACTAGAAAGATCCCGGGAATGTGCAGATTTTAACCCATCACTTCCCTGGTTAAACTACTTCAAAGGTTTCCCACTGTCCTAAGGATAAAGTATAAACTTAGCAGTATACGCAAGGCTCTTCATAAGCCCCTGCCCACCTCTTCAGCCTCTTTCCCTTTGATTCCCCGCAAAATGATACACTTGCCTCCAAGTGTCAGGCTATTTTACACCTTTGGGATTTTGCTCCCTTTCAGTAAACACACTTGCTTCTACTTCAGCTACCTGGCTAACTCCGGCTCATCTGCGGCGTCACCGCATCCTCAAAGCTTGCTCTCACCTCTCCAGATGGAGGGGTCACTTCTCCCCGCACCCAGGCCCATATCACCAGTGTCCGTCCCCACCAAAGCGCTCATCAAACTGTGCTGCTGAGGTTATTCCCATTTTTAGCCGCCTAGTCTGGGAACTCTTTTGCCTAGGGCAACAGCGGGGGCTGAGCCCTCACTGCTGTGAACATAAAGTGAATGGGCGCGAGGATTCAGAGTTCCCTAGTATTCCTCCACCACTGCCCCAGGCCCAGGAGGTGAAGAGGTTCCTGTCAGAGCCTGGCGGACTTGGAAGAGCTGCAAAGATCGTTACGTCTCAGGCTCACACCCTGAGGCCAAGCAAAACTGCCAAAGATACGGTCTACACAGCTGCTCGCCGCCCTCCGCGCCCGGAGACCTGTCCAGCTCCACACCACGGCCCACTAGCTGCCCGGTTCGCCCAGACTCCACCCAGAGCCCGCGCCTGCTCACCCACGTACAGCACTCGCTTGGTAGTAGCCATCTTGCTCCCGCACTCTTCCGCCGGAAGCCTACGCTCAGCCCGCCCCCTTCCCCAAGGCCCCGCCCCCGGGTACCGCTCTCGCAGACCCCGCCCACTCCCGCTTAGGCCCAGCCCGCCTCCGGCTCCCTTTGAGCGGCGGGCGCTGTACAGGTGTGTCTCGGTGGGTGAACAGCGCTGCCCGCGTTCCGTGGTGCTGAAAACAATCCTGTGAGGAGTCAGCCGGTGTCCGCAAGTAATAAACTACCAACAAACTACGGTCCGCGGGCCATCCTGCCCGTCTGTTTTTGGACAACCCGGGAGCTACAAATGATTTTTACATTTTTAAAGAGCTGGAAAAAAAAAAGATAAGAAAAAGAAACGAAACAAGAATAATATTTCGTGACATGTGAAAATTATATGTAATTCAATTTTCATCAAAAAAATTCCAAAAAAATTTTATTGTAATCCAGTCTTGCTCATTCCTTTTAGTATTGATCTGTGGGTGCTTTCGGGATGCAAGGGCAAACCCAGGGCCTACACAGCTTGAAAAATATTTACCATCTGGCTCTTTGGGAAAAGCGTTTGCTGACTCTTGGAATAAATCAGCTAATACATAAATCGATTGACTTAAGTGGTACAAAGTAATGGGGCCACTTATTTTAGATACAGCAGTTGGTTAAGACCTCCCTGAGGCCACATTTAAGCTGAAACCTGGAGGAAGAGGAGCCAGAGAGAGGATGGAGCAGGGAAAAGGGTTTCAGGGAGAGGAGACAACTTCTGAGGATTAAATGAACTGAAAGGCTAGGTGTGGGAGCTGGGGAGGGGAAGGGCATGAAACATCAGGCAGGAAAGGTGGGCAGGGGCTGCTTGATGCAGGGCCCTGTAAACCACGTGGAGGATTTGGGGGCTTTGAGAAGCTACTGAAGGTTGTGATAGGGAGTTACATTGTCACATTTATGTTTTAAAACAGTGCTCTGGGGCACTTCCCTTGTGGTCCAGTGGTTAAGAATTCAACTTCCAATGCAGGGGACACAGCTTCGAACAAAGAGCCTGCGCCGCAATACAGAGCCTGTGTGCCACAACGAAAGATCCCGCATACCACAACTAAGACCCGATGCAGCCAAATAAATAAATAATAAATAAAAAAATAAAACCATGCTCTGACCACTATGCCCAGAATGATTTGGATGGAAACCTGGAGACCAGGAGGTTAATGCAGTCGAGACTAAGGAAGAGTTGATGGTGGCTCTCTCCCTCCAGTCTGCCCTCTGACTTGTTCCCAGGATGATCTTTCATCAAAACAAACCTCAACTCTCTAGAGTTCCCTTCTTTTTTTTTTGTTTTTTTGCAGTACGCGGGCCTCTCACTGTTGTGGCCTCTCCTGTTGCAGAGCACAGGCTCCAGACGTGCAGGCTCACTGGCCATGGTTCACAGGCCCAGCCGCTCCGTGGCATGTGGGATCTTCCCGGACCGGGGCACGAACCTCTGTCCCCTGCATCAGCAGGCGGACTCTCAACCACTGCGCCACCAGGGAAGCCCTAGAGTTCCCTTCTTAATCAGTGCTACTGATGACAAGACTCCTAGAGCCCTTCACAAGGGGCCATGGCCACGTCAAGTCAAGCCCTACCAACACACAAGCCCTGGCCCTTACCATGTGCTTGATTCTCTTGACTCTGCCTCTGCCCATTTGGTTCTCTCCTTTCTCCATCTGGAGGCATCCACCTGTCCTTGTTGGAGGTCCTACTTACCCCTCAGAGAGGTGCCCTGGCCTCCAAGTCCAACAGTTGACTGAAACACACCCTGTGACTGTAGTCATGTGTGTGTCTGTCTCCCTCTTTGACAACAAGGCCTGTGTCTGCGTTCCCAGAGCTAAGCAGTGGATGCAAACACAGCCAACCTCAGCATCCTTAGGCCCAACCAGAGCGGTACCGCTCATAGAAATGAGGCTGTGAGATCTGATTACAAGATCCCCTTGTGAAACTGTCACTACTCCAGACCAACAGGTCACTCTTCAGGGGAACCTGACCAGGTGTCCTTTATGTGGATATGGTATAATATATATATATATATATTTGGTCTTTGTCCCCAGTACCTAGCACCAAGCCCCTAAAACCCCTGAAATTTCCTGAATGACAGGAGGACCTTTTTGTTGTTGTTAATAAATTTATTTATTTATTTATTTTTGGCTGTGTTGGGTCTTCATTGCTGCTCACGGACTTCCTCTAGTTGTGGTGAGCGGGGACTACTCTTTGTTGCGGTGCGCGGTCTTCTCATTGCAGTGGCTTCCCTTGTTGTGGAGCACGGGCTCTAGGCACGCGGGCTTCAGTAGTTGTGGCACACAGGTTCAGTAGTTGTGGCTCACGGGCTCTGGAGCTCAGGCTCAGTAGCTGTGTCGCACGGGTTTTGTTGCTCCGCAGCATGTGGGATCTTCCTGGACCAGGGCTCGAACCCGTGTCCCCTGCCTTGGCAGACGGATTTTCAACCACTGCACCACCAGGGAAGCCCTAAGAGGGCCTTTTTAAATTCATAATGAACCCTTTTGACCATACCTGAGTTTACCCTAAGGTGGTGACGCATAGTGGGGTCCTGTATTAGTTAGGAATCTTCAGAGAAATAGAACCAATAGGAGAAATATATATATACATCATATAGATACATATGGAGAGATTTATTATGAGAACCAGGGGAGCCAATTGTATAAATCCCAGTTCAAGGGCAGGAAGAGGTGAATTGAGATGTCCCAGCTCAGTCATTTAGGCAGATGAAAGGGCTAATTCTCCTCTCCCCCACCTTTTGTTCTGTTCAGGCCCTCCATGGACTGGATGAGGCCCACCCACATTACAGAGGGCAATAGCATTACTGGGTCCACTTATTCAACTGCTAATCTCATCTAGAAACACCCTCCCAGACACACTCAGAAACAATGTTTAGCCAATATCTGGGCACCTTATGACATAGTCTAGTAGATACATAAAATTATCCATCACAGGCCCCTAGATAGCTTCCAGATGGGGGCTGCTCAGCAGAGGAACCAACCACATGATTAGAGGGTTGGAACTTTTCAGCTCCAACCCCTGACCTTCAGGGAGGGGAAAAGGGATGGAAATTGTGTTCAATCACCAATGGCCAATGATTTAATCAATCATGCCTAGATAGTGAAAGCACATGTAAAAATTCTAAATGCGGTTTGTTCGGGGAGCTTCTGGGCTGGTGAACACATGGCTGTGCTGGGAGGGTGGTGTGCCTGGAGAGGGCAAAGAAGCTCCGCATCTCCTTCCTCTGACACCTGGCCCTATTATTCTCTTCCATTTGACTCTTCCTGAGTTGTGTCCTTTATAATAATCTATAATCATAAGTATACCTCTTTCCTGAGTTCTGTGAGTTATTCTTGCAAATTTTCAAACCTGGGGGGGGGTGCAGTTCATGGGAACCCAAATTGGTAGTTGGCTGAGCATAAGTGTGGGTAGCATAGGGACCCCATTTGTGGCTGGTGTCTGAAGTAGGGGCAGTCTTGTGGGACTGAGCCCTTAACCTGTGGGGTCCGTGGTATCAGAACTGAATTGAAATGGTGGGTCCCCGCTGTTGTCAGAGAATTGTAGAATTGATTGGTGTCAGAAGAAAACCACAGTGGAAACTGTTGTTTGCCCTTTGTAATTCACAGCTTATCCCCTCCTTTCTCTAACTTCAGATGACAGATAAGGCACAAAGGTAACAGGATAAGGGGGCAGGATAAGCAGTAACAGAAGCAGCGCTCTCTCCGTTCCCTCCTCCTTCTGCCTTTTTAGGATGATTGTAAATCAAAGCCATCGCAGGAAATGAAAGAGCCAAACATACGGGTTGTCCTTGTCTAAGAGGTAGCAGCAGCAACAGCGCCCACCTTCTGGGCAGCTTCTTTCTTGGCATGATGAGCCTGTAGGACCGCCACAGCTTCATCCACCTGTGAGAAGCTCCAGGTGGTCAGTGACACCTGAGGAGAGCCCCTCCGCCCCTCCCTGGCACCCAGGCCCAGCGGTGGCCTCTCCTGGTGCTGACCGCTTTCCCAGATACCCACGCGCCAGCAGCCCTCAGGTCACAGGCGAGGCACGAGGAGGTCACAGGGGCAGCAGACCCTTCTCTCTGCTGCCCCTGGGTGTCCAAGGCCACCCGTGTCCTCCTGACCCGAGTGAGCGGAAGCCGTGGGGGTCTGGGAATCTGCTCACCTTGGAGCGGAGAGACTCGGGGGACTCCAGCATGTGCAGCAGCTCCGAGTTGTCAATCTCCAGCAGCATCCCCGTAATCTTCCCAGCCAGGTTTGAGTGCATCGTCTGGATGAGCGGGAACAAACGTTCACCTGTGGGAAGGTATTCCGTGAAAAACCCAGTGGCATCCCAGTAGAGAAGGGACGCTGGTGTCCAGGTCAGTAGCAGCTCTGGCCCCCTCTTCTGCAAGCACGTGGGTCACTCACCCAGCATCTGTTTCTGTTCCTGCAGGGGTGCTGCGGCCAGCATGGAGGCGGCCAGCGGCTCCTGCCCCTGCACGTGGACCGCAGGCTGGGGTGCCTGGGAACCAGGAGAGGCGGCGGGCTAGCACCAGGGAAAGGACACTTGACAGTGGTCGAGGTTAGGACAGTCCAACCATTCAACACCTGAATGCTACCATTCAGCATGCCAGGAGAGGAGGACGAGAGGTCCCTGGGCAAATTCAGTCCACTGAGAGGGGAGTGGTGGGAATATAAAACCTATATAGATTCCTGTGTACCTATTCAGGTATGTAATACAATGCAGTACAGTCAGAAAGGGGAGGTGAAGTGAACCCATAGAGGACACACCTGCTCTGTGTCAGGCCTAGTGCTAGGCAGCTATTTCCTCAGATATTTAGTCCTCATAAACTTTTTCAGGTAGAGATTATCACCCAATTTTACCCATAATGCCCAATGAGGTCAAGTCATTTGCTCACATTAGCAAAATAAAAACTGAGTATTGAATTTGTTTATTGAACATACAAAGTTATAGTAACTATCTTTAGCAGTACAGCTTTTTTCTAAAGACCCCGTTATTTCC